TCATGCAAACTTTTAAAAATAAATATATAAATATAGGCACTGGATAAATGGAAAAAATATGTAATCTCCCCTCACCTAGCAACCAACCACATGTCCGACAGAATTACTAGTAATGAACCGCAACAATTAAGTGGGTTTGTCCTAAGTGTGTGTATGTTTGTAATGAACAGATTGTTGACATCCGAGTCTGGTATGAACAGAAGATAGTTTTATCTATGAGTGATAAGATAATGTATTTATTAAGCTCGGCTTATGACCATTTAGTTTGTTGCCAGTAATAGAGAGAACGATTGACTAATAGTACATTGTAAATGTTATAATTTAAAATTCCATGATAGTTTTTTGGATTTTTTTTTTACATTGAATGGTTTAAAAATATTTTTCATCCAAGCCATCAATAATTGCAGGCAAGATTTTTAATAATTTTGACAACAAGCTTAAACACAAACTGTACCTTTTTAATTATTTTAGAGATTTGACATATTGATATTCTATGTTACAAAATTAATCAATGTGATATTTTTTCTAGATAAATAAGTGTCATAATAAATTGCTGCTTTAGAATATATTTTCTTTCATATGAATAAATTATTAAATGTAAATAATAATAACTACTAGTCACATAAAAATAATGTGTCTTCTTAACAGTCAATATTTATGATGCCATAAATATTATAAAAAATAAAAAATATATAATGAGTGGTGTTATGATATATCGAATTTCAATGAAAATTATCAACCCAATATTGTATATAATTATATAATACAACAAAACGTGATCATGAGAAGAGGTAAATAAATAAAAATTGTTCTTCCTATGCGATAAATGTTGTTTTATTTAAAACTAAATGAGTCAAGCTTTAAAAAAATTCAATAAGCTTAAATACAATTTTTATTCCTTCAATCTTCTGTATTATTAAATATCATTATATAACGTACAATAAGATCGTAGGAAAACCAAAATAAACAACGACCTCAAGGATTTCCCGCTGATAGAAATACTTTATTTTAAAAACATTTAAAACAAGGAGAAAAATAATGTGATTGTAATAAACAAATCTTAACGAAACATTTGATCCACGGTTTACGAAAATATATATATTACAGTATTTTTTCACACCTCAGCTACGTCTTCCAGAAAGACAGTAACCTTAGGATGACATTAAATTAAAAGGGATACTTGTTTCTTCTTCGTAATATAAAATTTAATCGCTAGTTAATACTAAATAGATTAAATTCTCAACAAAACCTTTACGATATGCAGAAACAAAAACAATATTAATTTGAATCTCATATGCAAAGTACAGAGAAGTCGTAAAATGCAATTACAGACACACGTCAGTATTGCTGAATGGATTTCGTTTGTCGTGTGTCTACTGCGACACTTATAGTTGTGTGTCACGCCAATAGTTTGAATACAAATTGCGGGCTATACTTTTTACTTGTCCATCAACATTGCAGTAGAAAACTCATGTTTTTAACCAAAGACTTTTAATCGTTATTAAAAAATCGATTGCTCGGATATACATATACTGAGATAAAAATTACATTTAGTTTATTCATTAAAATGTATACTAGGGTCATATATTATGTTATAACATTAACAATGGTATAACAAACCTTATAATATCGGTTCAATTTAATTAGATTTTCTCCGATTGTTTTCGATGTTCAATTCGAATATACATATATGTATCATATACTGTTGTATGCTATTTCGAGAAACTATTTACTCAACCAAAAATTCTATAGATATACATTTTGTTTCCCCTGCCCTATTAATATATTATAAATGTTATTTTTGTATGTTTACTGTCAGTTGTAACAAAATAAATTCAACATGGCGTACCAACCGGCTTTATTCAATTGCAGTGTGTTTGTAAAATGATTTTTCGCTTAAACGCACAAGTGACAGCCAAATATATGTCTTATTATAAAGAGCTTACGTACTACAGATAGTATGATACTGAAATCAAAAACAGCGCATTGGGGTATCGTGTATTAGATCGGATATGGAGCAATTTCCCGACAAAAATGACCCGCCGTAGAGACGCCATGATACTTTGGTATGGGTTGCATCATTTGACTTCGATATTTGTGCTTAAATATAGATAATATATTCCAATAAATAAATAAATAATAATTAATGAAATCTCAAATATTATTCATTAGAAATAAAAATATATAAAAGTTTATCAAATTCTAAAAATGAAAAACAAATTTGAAAAACTTTTTATTTTAAAACAAAACAAATGAACATGGAATGATTTTTCATCTGAACTGCTCGTGATCACGGTTGCTGCAAAAGTAACCGAACATCGAGAGTATATAGTTTAAAATAATAAAATAACGCGTACTGAAGCCAACCCAAATAATCAAACTAATTGTCTAGAAAGAATATTACTCATAAACAAAATTTTAAATTCGTTGCTAATGAAAAGTGTAGTGAAAATTTTCAATACTATTTTTAGTTGTATACCACGAGGTTACATTTATTACTCATCATCATCAGCCTATCAGAGCCTACTGCTGAGCAAAGACCTCTTCTCCAGTGGAGAAGATTCGAGCATTAATCACCAAGGCGGGTTGGTGATGGAACTTATAATTGTGAAATTATAAGTCCAGGTTTCCTCACGATTTTCCTTCACCATCTGTCAGCAATGTTTAAATACATATACTATTGGCAAATTATAATTTAAAATATATTTTTATCGCATAAATTATCAAGAACCTGATGCTACTTAATGCATATTAAAGACGATGCCAGCGCCTTACGAGCCCATGAGCATATCTTCGTATCTTGAAGTGAAACAAAATTTTAGTATACTATGTTTGCCCCCGACTCTGTCTATTTCAACTTGACAAAAAATAAAAAAATGCATTATCCATAGGAAATGCGGTCAATTACAGTGATCCATAATGCAGGAAAAATCTCTTCTTAGTTAACAACTTTTTATTAATATTTCTTATTTAAATTTTGTTATGTAAACTATGTAACTATAATTAGTCATATAAAATTATAATCCCTACAAAGTTTCTTAGGCGGAATGATATGTTAAAAAATTTAAACAAGTGTTATTGGATACTGTTGTTATTGTATAGATTTCAATATTAAATAAAATGTAGCAAGATGTAGGTCTTAAAATAGAGAATGAGTTTTTTTTGCCTGTACAATCCTTAAATGCTCTTACTCGTCGAAATATGTACTACATATATCTTTAGACAAAGAAACAACCTGAATGAATCTAGGATTTATTGAATACATCAAGTATTGTAGCTAAGACATATAAATGTATAAATTTATTTAAATTTACATATACTGCCTTCAACCTTCCCAATACACGGTACTTGATTGGCGTGAATTACGTAATACTACTATGACGTCTAAAGGAAAAAGCGAACTTGGTCAATGTTGAAAGCTAACATATAAAATGATATATACGATTTGATGTTTATTTTCTGTTGACATTATTATGTTCAAGGTACAATAGTTATTAATGTGTCTATTTCTTGGTATTCCTCTTGCTTAATCTAAACTGAACTTGTTATTAAATAATCTTGGAATAACGTAATGGGTACATAAGTCATCGTTAGTTGTTCCAATAAAACATTATTTTATTTACGAGCACATTTTACTAGCTTAGATTTTGGTAACGAAATCTCTGGATATAGTGTGCTTGCAACAAAAGCCAACAAGCCATCTTTGTATAGGATTCTTGTAGAAACAAAATAATGAATCTATGATAGATTTATTCTCTTTTTAAGCTGTTCTTGATAAAGATGTCTATAACTCGTCTCGCCTATAAGCGGCCTTAAAAAAAAATTTTTGTATGGAAAAAACTATATGTTTAAATATAAACCGATGGTATATGTAAATGTTTTTTGATATAATATTTATGTTTTATAATAGTTGAATAGTCAGCAAGAAAATTTTGTATGATTTTATTTAGAATAAACCAGAAATATATAGCATTACTTTTCAAACATAATAAGTGTCTACTATTGGGTCATATATTATATTTATAGATTTTTCATTATTTGTAATATCTTTTGTATTAGTTAACGTGCTTTAAATATACAACATGAATCAGAAATAGTATATTAATTTAATAATAAATTAATAATACAATAATTTTATGATTAAAAACAATGAAATATTGAACTATTGGTATTAATAAAAAGCAGTCAAAGAACGTCTCTTTATAATGCTTGAAAAACTTAAATTATTTACTATGTCAATCAAACTATAGTAATAGTTCGTTTGTATTACAATAACACTTTTGTACAGAAGTGTACTTTGTTTGAATAGGAATATGTACATTTTTATTTTAACCTGACGTTTCAACTGTTTCAAGTCACTTTAGTACACGTATATACATATGATGTAATTGTGAAGGCGATCACGAATGCAGGGAAATATAAGAAATCATAATTTTATTTAGCATTTTAAACTAAATATTTCAATGAAACTACTTATTATTATGTTTATTTTGATATAGACGTAAGGAACATATAAACATACACTCATTCAGAACTCACGACGAAGGCACTATAGAAGCCTTAAAAATAACGCTACAGATGCTATGTTATCTTTACATTGCCTATTTATTGAAGGAACAAAATTATTCTATTTTAGTCTCTAAATTCATGATATTAGAGTGCAACTTAGAATGAAAAATTACTTGGTAGTTGTATTATAAAATTATATTTTAAGTCATAATCTGGAAGCTGTCGTTGGAAATATGTTTTACATTGAAGTATTTTCAACAAAATTTTACTTCCTTATCTTGGATTTATGCCTTCATGTTATAAATATTTCAAACCAAGTTATAAATTTATTTATCCTTTGTTAAAATTATCCATATCTTTTTATATTATTAAAGTTCATAGTACAATGTTAAGTAATTAATATAATTACGATATTATTCGCTAGCGTTCACCACGTGTCAGACCAACAGTCGAGTTGCGTTAAAATAAATATTAGTAGCGTATTTCGGAACGCAGCCTTCAGGTCAGGCAGCGTCCACTGGGTGTGAGCGAGACGGCTGTATATGAGACGGCAGGTGCGAGAGGGACGGGACGACTTATTCGATCGATAGCCGCAGCCGCAGAGTGCCGCTCGTGTGACGTCACGCGACCGTCCCGTCATCTTGGCTAAGAAATTGTCACAATATTTTTGTACTACCACATTAGTGTTATTGAAATATCAATAAAGATTGATTGATATGAATGAGATATATTTGTTCGGTAGCATTTAACTGATTCGTAATATGTTTGTTTTTTTGGGGTTCAATACTGCTTGGTCGTAGTGACCTTCAAATTTTACGTATTTATTAGCGACAATTGTAATTTTGTAATGGTTATATAAGATATAAATCTGTAGTGTCGTAGCCGCGTTCGTAGAGCTCTACGAAATATTTCACCTTGGCTACGAAACGCCGTAGCACTTCACGCCTCCTAAAAATAAGCTGTAAAACCGATGTTAAGCGAAAGTTACTTTTACAACGTCACCGATTTCATAGCTGTTTGATTTCATAGAATGTAACTTGATACAAAATCAATAATAACAAAGCTATTATAAATAATACATACACAATCACATGTACTATTTTATATGTTTCCCAAAAGGAATTAAGGCCAAAAGCAAACATTTTTATAATTTAATTTCTTTTCCATCTCTATAATCGGGACTTAATTTTACTCCTCTTTAACCCGCTTAAAAATATATGATATATATGACAGAGGAAGACGAAAATAAGACTTATGTTGAAGCAAATAGAACTCTAAATTCTTTAACACGGCAGTATAATGGAGACCGTTATAGATTTAATTTTTAAATATGTCTGTGCAACCCTCTGTAGAGGGCGCCCGGGTGAGTTTTAATTGGGCAATGAAAATATTATGCGTCTTCAATAAAACATCACGTGAAACGTTTACATATAACAGAAGAAAATGTTTAATTTCTTACAAAATCTCGATATCTATTGTCGATACATTTGTGTAATTAATTTACATTAAAAATATTAAAAAATATATGGAACTCTCATGAAATATTTTTTGTTATCTCTCTGTATGACCTATTTCTCTAGCAACAAAAGTATCAAGTAGAATTAACATACTGTTGAGTTCTATTTTTTATAGTACATAAGAAATATATTTTCTAATTTAAGGAAGTCATAAGATGATTTATTAAATAATATTTTGACATTCCAAAATTAATGAAAATTGGTTTATTCTAAATAAAGTAAAGGAACATTTCTCTAAAGTCAACACGAATAATGAAAAATTAGCCAAGCAGAAATTATGTACAGCAAATAAAAATAAGAAAATACATAGTCGTTGATTTTTTTAATCGTTTTTAAACCATAACCTCTTTGCATTTTCGGTGCATAATAACAAAAAAAGGTGAAGTTTATCATTCGATATTGTTAATTTCATTATTATTTTATTATTTTTAATAAGTTAATGTTTTAAAAAGAAAATTATATAACAAAAACGTATTTTTAACACTTATATTGGACAAATAAATACACGAATAACTTGGTTCAAAAATTGTTTAATAGCTCATTCCTTGTATTAAAACTTTTTGGATTAATATTCTTTTAAAAAAAAGGAATAAAGAATAGAATGCTGTAAATATTTTATAACATATTTTATATATAAATAAGAACATAACATTTTAATATTGGAAATTTGGCAAGAATTGTAGGTACAATGTTTTAATTAAAAACTATTCATGATTATAAATTTTTTATACGTAAGTCACATAAAATATATATATTTTTTGCTATAATTTTTGCTAATGATTTAATTATGTTGTTCGCAAGCACCTTGAATATCTTATGATGGAAACTTTCAAAGTAATATTTATCTATTACTTTAGGCAAAATGTATGTAGAGTATAAGTTTGAACCTAAGTAGTAGAAGTTTGCATCAAGTTTTTCGTAAAAAAAATATTTGCTGCCATGTATATTATATACTACACATATAGCAACATGGAAAATACTGCTTTTCAATAATATGTCGGCGCGCCAACTAAACATAACTATAACCAACACGTGCACCGATCACGCCACCGAGCGCGTGATTCGATGCCCCACTCTCTCCACTACCAGCTGTATAAAAGACGTTCACGATTATTCGAGGGGAGTCTTGGCTCTGACGTGGCGCGGTGCACTAGTTGTACTTAGCCTGTTAACCTTGACTCTTTGGATAATTAATTTGTGAAAACGAATTAATTATTATTCTGGTGTTGTAATTTGGTCCTTGGACTAATTATATCCGATTTCAACTATTATTCAGTTTAAAAGAACTTCATGCCCTGAATTATGGCCATCCATCTATCTATTTCTATCTCATATTCCTACATATGTATAAAAATAAATGTAATGACTCATTCAGTAGAACTGTTTTTATGAAATCTATGTCGGTTTTATGACAACAAAAATGTATAGTCAAAAGATGGCCTACTTTTTGCGACAGCTTTAAACAATATGTTTGAGGATAAGAAGACTCTTCCTATATTAAAACTGAATAAATTAATTAAAAGTCAATATTTCGCTTTTCTTCTCCTCCTAAAATATAAAGAAGGGTTCCCTTCAATCTTAAGCTACAGTGAAGATAACAAATTTATCAATCAAATTTTGTACTCAACAGGCATTAAGGGTCAAATATATTGATGAATCTTTAGAAGCACGAAACCCAAGAGCTGAAAAAAAATATATACTCTAAGTACCATAGCATCGATGTAAAGAAAGATTTTACATAAATATCTGTTTAAGAGAAAATGCGTGCTATAAGGTCATAGAAAACAATAACAAAGATTTTCTTTGAAAGGATTTTTTGGTCTATCTCTATTATTACTTACTTATTACAAAACAGTAAGTATGAAAACAAAATACAAATACAGATAGGGTCAATACACATAAATTTCACGACTTATAATTTTTCACAAAAAAAGGACTGTCTTCTGAAACAAATTTGTGTTTTGTAACTTGGACTGCTTATTGAAGGTAAACTTTTGAGCAGTTACTTTGACGAAAATATAGTACGGTGATCTATGGCTTTTGTACGTCACAGTCTTAAGGATAAGGTGACAGAGGCCCATGTAAAAGATATTACTTAAATGACCTGCCCTTGGCATTTAATGTTCGGTTGATTGCTGTTTATAGGTCACAAGGTCTAACTAATTCTGGTATGGAATGTATCAAAATTGCAATATACTCTAGCACTAGACGTTTTAAAATTAATCCTTAAAATGTTTTGTAGACTTCTTTTGTACAAACACTACTTTTTTCTGTAGACTTCCTTGCATTGCTTTATACAGAACCTTAATCTCAATAAATATAAACGTTACAAGAATTAATGACAATTTAATCGGCCTTTTTTTAGTTTTAAAAGTAGATATAAATATACTTTTTTCAGTCACCATTCAAAATTAAGTTTATAGTTAAGAAAAAAGTAATGAAATGAAATATCCAATGTGGAAAATAATAGTTATATTTTAATCTTATATTGGGAATGGTATTTTGCGTGGGAGGGGGGGTTGGAGAATTTACGGCATAATCTTTGTATCTGAATTTTTTTTTGCCATTTGTATAGATATAACAGAGGTTAATAAAGTAAATACTAAAAATATTTTACTAGTTCTCTCCTAACAAATTACGCTCAGTCTAGCACATTCATACATACATATGCCGTATAAAATATACACTTTTGTCACATTTACATGAATATCAGTTTTACAGATAAACTTATATTGAGTTACCAAATTAACATGTTTTTGTGACTTTTATTCACAATAAATAGTCTGCACTAGACTATAATCTATAATATTCATAGATTATAGTCTAGTTTATATAAGGTATGATGTTAATAAATTTTGCAACACTCATACTCGTCGCCTTTACCTGTAGTTGCATCAGATTAGGGATTTAAGCATTTATTCGACGAACAGACCATGATTGCTAAAGAAACGAGCTAATTTTGAAAAGAAATAACTTGTAGCCAGTTATAGAACAGATATTATTGCTGATATTACTAATTTAAATTAATATAACACTACATGAGAAAATTAATTGTACTATAGGACAAAAACTAAATATACTATATCGGTATATTGACTTTTTTGTATAAATCATTTTGACGAGATGTCGAAGTCAGAGATTGTCTGTTGAAGATTTTATTTGTCCTGTTACCGTCAAAACACAGACAATTCTCTTTTATTTAGGTATCTGTCACCGCTTGAGTTTAACCTTTTCATATTTTGTACACACGTTTACTTTCGACGACAATACTTAGTTGTGTGACGTCATTCTTGATCCAAATGACGAGATTTATATTTAATACACCCACAATATCTAATTAAAGACTTTGCTGGGAATTTCGCTCCAGCGGTACAAGACGAAAAAAAAACATGTAAAAAACATAGAAGTTCGTAAAATGAGTACATACATATAAAACTAAAATATAATTTGTTTTATTATCAAAATACCAATTACTTTTCTTCCCTTATAAAAACACGAATCTCATACTTTGTAGATATTTTAAAACTAATCCATTGCATTTACAAAAAAAATATTGGATTCAATTAAAAAACACCAGAACCATAAAAAGTATCACAAATCTGAGACCTTAGTTTTGAAGAAATGTACTAAAAAAGACGTTCGAGTTGATTTACTTATATTGAATATAAAATACTTAAAAAATCGCCTTTTACTGGATTATGATGCAAAATCTTGCATATTTGAATAAAACATAATTTACCTCTTCTCTGACAATGTGGGGGAATTTAAACGCTCCAATACTTCAGAAAGAAAAAAATAAATTATTTCTTTAAAACTATTACATTGAACTATTTTCACATGTGATATAAAATTTAGTATCTATTCTGATAATATTTTTTTATTTATTTAGATAGCTTTGTTTATACTTATAACATCTTAAAATCTAAAATAAATAGCGTCTATTATAATATTTTACTATAGTTTTTAACCAAGATCAAAAAATATATAAACAAAATTATAAGAGTCAGTTTAGGACACAATGACCTATTTGACAGAAAATGAGGTGTACGCAAAATAAGAAACGAACGCTTAGACTGTCTTGTGACAAAATATAATGTTAAACAAATTATTGAAACAAACTTGC